GGCATAACTTCCCAGGCCTCAAGCTCCTACCCAGGTTACAGAGCCTCAACTCGAGCACCGGCCTGAGTCGTCCCAACAAAATCCTCCTCACCTACCAACCAAAATCGACCATCCAACTACATAGCAGATCCATTCCCCCCTAAGCCTTCTGAACAAATCGACTCAAAACTGAATAGCAGCGCGATCAGAAAATCCATCAATACAAAAAACTTGAAGATGGAATTCGAGAGATCATTAAGACTTTTTACCGGTAAACACTAATGAGCAAATTGCTCAGACCGAAAATACAATCAATTGGCTTTGAAAATCCATAGTCAGGCCGAATATACGATTTGAAGTCTTTGAAAATCCAAGTAGATAAGCACAATAGAAAAACCAATTATGATGCCCATTCGGACTTTCGACTCTGATTTCCCGAACCCGGGGTTCAGGAAATCACACAGACCGTAAATCATGAGGATGAACGTTTTAAGAAGTCACTCAGACCGTGAATCAGAAATCAGAAATGTACAACGCAGGAAGACCAAATCAAAGATCAAACTACAGAGCAAACATACGAATCAAGAAGACCAAAACGACAATCAAACTAGACAACAGACATACAAATTGCAGTTAGTTATGTCACCTTCGATGACCCACGTTTGGTGTTTTTTGATTCCTACATGGAGGCTCGCAAGAGTCAGAGCTGCGGCGGAGCCTCTACCAGGCTGAAAAGCATGACTGCAATCAATAAATTTCTCTTCGTAGATCATCTCCAGTATGACCTGCATAGCTTTTTGGACTATTTTGAAGATAAAGCGGCCTCTTACAATGTCGGTCGCTTTATCCGGCGCGTAGCGCCCTTGTTGAAGAAGAGTTGCTAAGTGAGTAAACCATTCTTTTGTAAGTCCATCAAGAGCGCTTCGCGCCTTTCCAGGAGTCATGTTACCAGGCTAATTAGAACTTTTATAACCATGGGGAAATGAACATTACGCAATTAATCGTGAGAAACCAGATCAGTATTATCATCTTCTCAAGCAAACTCTTCCACCGGACTACTCCAAAACATAATGATAAGAGCAACGATTCGCCGAATAATCCCTCTCCCTTTTTCTTCATCACACGCTAACGTACCACAGCCCCCCAAACCCTACCCCAGCATCCACGGGGGAGGAGAACCACCTCCCATTACTAGCACACAGGCTCTACGCAACGCTAGTACCGAAGACTTTAACGACCATCTTCCGTTTCCCGAAAGAAAAACAGGATAATGGTGTGACTCCACCTCACCAAACCCGTTAGCAAGGCACCATAGGGGGTTCAAGCATCCATCCATACCCACTTACCTTATTGAAGAAAAAGGGAAGAGAAAACCTCATTACCAACATCAATCAGTTGCCCCTCTCAAAATTTCGCCCAAATCCCGTATCATCAAGAAAAACATTTACGAGTGTCCAAAACATTCACTATTGCCCGGCGGTTGATAACGACCCCCACAACGAGGCGAAGTAGCAGGCGATAACGAACTCTCCACATCTTTGCCTTATTCCATGCAGCACCTCTCAGCGATGGTGAAATCTCAACATCTTCACGGCATAGGATCGAAACTTGGCCAACCATCCACCCCCCCCCAGCCCCCGCGTCCTGCAATGTATCCTCCATCCCCACCCGTCACATGCCCTATCCGTATTTGTTTCCATTGCACCTCTCCGTTTACTGCTATTCCCCATCGCCCTCCATTGCCGCGCGCCGCATCCTCTTCCTTCGTGCATCTCCACCAATCGATACTCCCGTCACTCATCCGCCATGCGCCATCCGCACTTGCCTGTTTCTCCGTCACCCGCCAGCGAGAACAGCCGGGCGCAGCGCTCCCGGTCGCGCTGCACCCGAATCTCAGGAGTCCTTTGGGGCGACCATCTCGGCAGTGTCCATACTATTCCCTTCTATTCCAGCAATGTGACAAATGTCAATGTTGCTATTGAGGCAAGTCAGTTCACCAGCCAGTTTACTTAGTGTGACCGCAAAATATAATGTAGTCACCTTCATACCAAACAGCCCCCCACTTTTTTTCTTTTTTTCCTTTTCTCTAACTCAAAACACACACAACCCCTTCCATTCTGGGGGGTACCAGTCCCGGGGGGGCAAGTCCCGCTAGCATGGGTTTGGCTTTGATTCCTAGAGCAGTGTTGTAGGGTGTGGCGGGGTGCGGTGGTGTGTGACAGTGTTGCAAAGCTTTTATCACCGAAATTTCTTTAGGACGTGCATAAGGACAAGTCCAACTTCTTAAATGTATTAGGTCCAGAGTCCAAATGCATGTACAGTGTTGGTTGTGTGTGTGCCAAGGCCCCACCCTTGCCAAACCCTTGTCACGGTAGCATCACAGCAAAAGTGCTGCAATACTTTTTGAGGAAAAAAAAAAAAAAAAAGCATCACAGTATGTCCACTACACAGTCGGAATACGGCCTCAGATTGACGGAAGTGCCTCACACTGACACAACTGGAGGCCTTTTTTTTAGTGCACTTACCCAGTTCCAAACAGGTTTTCATTCTTGACCCTTCCTGACCCATCAACACACCCGTCAGGAATGAAAACCCCTTGCCATGGATAGCTGTCTTATTTTTGTGGGATAAGCTGCTGGGATTGAGTGCTGGTTTGTGGGGTAGGGTAGAGTGAGGATGCATAAGTTGATTGAGGATGAACAAGGTTTCTGCCATCTCAGCGCGCGCTGCCTATCCTTGGTTGACCGGGGAGCAGATCGCAAGGCTGCTAACTATTCTGATGATTAGGGAGGACTACACACATTCATGTTTCCCCCGCGCAGTACAAGTAGTCATAACAACTAGGATCCCGGGAGATGCGCCTACATGACTCAGATTTGCATTACCTTTCAGTACTGTTGTGGAGGGGAACAATTTCTTCATTGTTCCCCATTTCCCTGTGTGACATGCGATCTGCCGGTAAGGAATGACTCTTAATAACAACGATTAAACACCGAATGACATACATGGCTGGGTGAACATTCTGGGGTGAGCTTACAACTGGTGGCTGGATTTCACTCACTGACATTCTCAGGCTGGGATGGGGCTTAGGGATTGTCCCGACAAAAGGAAACTGTGTGCGATAAATGTCCACGGGATGGGTTCCGCCAAATGGATGATCTAACTTGGCCTCTAATTAGGGGGGGCAGTCAATCCCCTTGGGAAAAGGGTAATCAATGCTGTCCCACTTGACCTAGTTGTTTAATATGACCTTCTCTAGTCCTGTAAGTGGGACGCTGGACCCGGTTTCCAGAGGGTGCCGCTCCCCACCAATAGATTGGAGCCATCTATCACTCGGGGCCTACCATTGGGGGATGCTCATATCATCTCCAATGGTAGGCTCCCGCAGATGTTTTTGTTAAAAAGAAAAAAGAAAAGAAAAGAAAACAGAACAGGAATGAAAACCCCTCGATCCATGAAAACCCTACCCCACTAGCACGGACAACCAATGACAGTGCGAGAAATATCAATCAAGGAATTCTCTCCACTACGATAAAAGCATGGCGCTCTGATCTGTTGTTATCTACTGCTCGCAGACGTGTCACAACCCTACCGCCTGTGGGACTTGGTCCTGGGGCCATGTCCCACTTCTCGAGGTTTTGTTCCGGTTTTGAGCATACATGGTTCCTTGTCATCCGATCCGAAAATCTCGTGGCCCTACTACCGTCTTCACCCGGTCATTGTCGCTGTTTCTGGACTGAAAGTTGCCCCATATAAAGCTATAATGACCGGGCGTTCTATTCGGGTGAAGACGGTAGTACTGTGACCACGTTGGAACATACACGAAACATAAACTAAACCCTCGCTTGTGGGTTACGGCTGCCGGTTGCTTATCACCGGCGAGCAAAACGTGCAGGGAAAGAAGGAATACAGGAAAGAAAGGAATGTTAGGTGCGAACGATCTGGAGATTCCACCTGGTACCCAGCCGTTGCCCGCTTTCCTTTGACCCCTTCCCTCCCCCTCGCAGTCCCACAAGGGCAGTGTCATCCCTACCCACCCTAAATGATAATGTCGTACTCCAATATTTTCACATCCATGTGCGCTGTTGTGATCTTGCTGTGACGTGACCCCATATATCATACTACATCATGATGATCCTACCGTCATTTGATCATGCGGTCATGTGAACTATTGATTACACGCAAATAATTGTTGTTACTCCTGCATGGCAGCAAATTTCTGTGAAAGTCCCAGTGTGGCTGATGTAATGGATCACAGTGAGATATAGGGCCTTGCCACACCATAGTCGAAAGGCAAAAAACTTTGACGGCTCTCAGAACAAATTCGACAGCCTCCATTCGACAGTTTGCGCCCCTTCGCTACACAGCACTGTAGAGTGCACGCACTTGTGAAAGCAAGATGGAAAAAGACGAATGCGCCTGAGGCTACGTCGACAAGCATTAGAGCCTCGTTGCACGAGTTTCAAGTGCGCCCTAACGCGAAATTGAGATTAATTTACACTACGCTGCCTTGTCATTCCATGCACACTAGAGACCACATTTGAAAATGTCGCACTTGAAAGGAAAAGACCCTGGCTCCCCCTTCTGCGGAGACCTACTGGCGTGTTTTCGATCCAGTAGGCCGGCACCCGGCCTTCAGAATGTCCGCCCACGGTGTGCTGTTTGGGACTCTAGGGACCGCTCGGGGCGAGGTGCAGTGTGCGAGCGCGCGCGCGACAGGTTTTCAAATTCGAAATTTGTTGTGGGTACAGTGCGGCGCTCCGCAGCCTACAGGATTGCAACGCGTGCAAAAGAGGACACGCGCTTGTACTGCACTTCAACGCGTGCAAGTGCAGTGGACACCGCCGCCAGTTTCCTTTCGTTGGGAGGTGTTCGTTGCGCCGTGCGGTCAGTGAAGTGCCATAGCTCTTGTCCATGGAGGACATACAGTTTTCGTCCATGGCGGCAGAAGGCTGTGCACCGCGTCGGTGAAAACTGTCCGAGCGCGAGAAACGCCTGGTGGTTACAGTGTTGCTTGCCGTGTCGACACATCTGCAGCACACAGCGGCATTGCGGCGCGGTGCGGCGAGAAGAACAGGGGTGAGGGAGACCATTGTTACGCACACCATGGCGGATTCGAATTCCTCCGTCGTGATTTGGGATGCGCCTTTCCTTATGGTGAATGCCATTGTGCCGGGAGTGCTTCCTAGGGAGATGCCACAATGGTGGATCAGGAGGAGAACCGGCGGAACATGGCAAGATCTCATAATTGACGATGACGCCACCGATGACTATTTCCATGAGAAGCTACGAATGACGAGAGGGGCGTTCTACGACATCATGGCCACGTGCACTCCTTTTCTTCAACGGTCCCTCACTCATTACCGCACTCCTTTGCTGCCGGAGCAGCTGGTGGCGTTTGCTCTGTGTAGGTGGGCGAGCGGGGAGACGTTTGATAGTGCAACTTTGTCATTCGGGATGGGGCGGTCGAGTGGTATCAAGGCGGTGAGGGACGTGATGGACGCTATCTTGTCCGAGTATACTGACAAGATACGGATGCCGACCGGTCATCGGTTGCTGCAGGTTACACGAGCGATTGCAGCAAAGGGATTCCCAAATTGTTTCGGTTGCATGGACTACAGTCATGTGTACGTCGACAAGCCAGCAAATGCGCCAGCGGAAAACTATTTCGATCAAAAGCAGCAATACTCTGTCATTGCTCAAGTCGTCATCGACCTCGATATGCGTGTGCTGGATGTTTATGTGGGGTATTCGGGCAGTGTCCACGGCGCCAGGGTTTTGATCAATTTGTCGCTCTATAGACGTGCTGAAACAGGCACGTTGTTCCTGGCGGATGTGGTGGACCTGCCATACGGGGTGCGAACGACGGGGTACGTGCTCGCCGACAACAGCTATGGACCCTTACCTTGGCTTGTAGTGCCTTACGGTGGTGTAGTGCAACCTCCCGACGAGGCGCATTTCCAACACGTGTCACAAGTCATCACGGAATGTTGTCGAACAACTATTTGCGAGACTGAAGGGGATGTGGCGGCTGTTTCTGCGCCACCACAAAACGAACATGGAAAATTTGCCCCAACAATTCACCGCTATTTGTATTTTGCACAACTTGCTGATCGAGGCTGGCATCGAATTTGACGAGTGTCTGCTCGTTGACAGGGACTCCGACGGAATGAGCGCCCCATCGATTTGGGTATGCATGAAGGTGCCGCCCCTGTGTCGTCGGATGATTTCACCGATGACGCCCTTGCATTGCGCGACGCACTTAGCTTTCGAATGCATCTGGCTATGACTTGACGATGGTGGGCGTTGTCCCTTTCCGGGGCTGAACCGCGTTTGCAGTTTCTTGGTAGCGCGAGATCGACTAAGTTTTTGCTGCCTGTTGTGG